TATTTTGTGGAACTCACTAAGCTTTGAGCTTACAGTTTTCAGTTTATGTTTCAGGTACTTCTGGTTCGAAAGGGAAGATCCCAGGATGATTGCAAATCACACACCACCTTATTCCGCATTTTGTGATTTACTCTGATATGTTATGATGTAGTGATACACTTTGATCCATCTTGGTTTTATGACAATGTTTTGGATTATCATTTATTTAATTTAAAAATGAAATTTTTGGGTCGTTACACCTTAATTGTTAATTGGGGTTGTTTTAGATATGTTTAGTGTGAGGAGCCTTTGGTAGCAGCAGCTCAAGTGTGAGTATTATCCGGCTACCGATTAAGGTGAGTCTCCTCACAATATTTGCGGGTCGAAGGCACTAATGTCGGCCAATTGGTTTATGTTTATAAGATGCTAGCTATCTGTGCGACTCTTGCATGTGTTTGTATGTATACCGGGCGGGGCCCACCACATGTTACTGACAAATCTGTACCAGGCAGGTCCCGATTCCAAGCAGGTCCCGATGTCGGGCAAGGCCCGATGGACGTCGGGCGGGGCCCGATATAGTATGTTATGTGGTATTTTGGGTAACTCACTAAGCTTTGTGCTTACGATTTATGTTTTAAATGTTTTCATGTACTTCTGGTTTCAAAAGGAAGGGCTCGGCTTGATCGCATTGCATCCCATGGAGATATATTCCGCACTGAATGTTTACGAATTACCCTGATGTTTTGAATACTTTTATTCTGATTGTTTTTGAGATAATGAATGAATGATTTTGACTTATTTAAAAATAAAAATTTTACTCGTTATATTTGGGACGTTACAAAAATCTTGACCAAGTCGTTACCCATGATCTTGAATACGTCTACTTTAAATCTTTCAGAAGATGTTAGTCAAAAAATTTCATCCACAACAAATGTATTTTATGTTAAACATATGTGAATATTTGATTTTAGTTTTTGTTTTTTCTGGTTGATATGGAAAACATATATTGCTTTTTACTTTTGATCATAAAATTGTATTTATTTAAGAAACCACATTGCTACTATCAAATAAACAATTAATAAAAAAACAACATAAATACTTGTCATTAATATAAATGTTAATTAAAAGTGACCATACATACAAAACCATCTATCTTACTTTTTATGAACTGAAATTTAGAATAGGCGTATGAAAATTTTACTTTGTCTTTATCAATCCATCATTTCATTCCGACCATTTTCCTACAAATATTTCAAAACTCATACTCTATAATTTGAATGTCACATTGGGCTTTTATTTAACGCCCAAAGACTTGGATTTCTTCTTTTGTGTCCACTATCCCCTATTGTTTGTCTTCAATGACTCATACCTTATTGTAACACCTCTTTTTATGAATGTTTAAAAGTAAATCAGGGGCTGTAGTTATTTTAAATAGAGTTGGTTATATGATAATAACCCTTGGATATGATGATAAAATATTATACTGAAAATTGGTACAGTTCAAGAGAATTTATTGAAATCACATTGATTTAATTGTTAACCGATGTTTGATATTTATAAAATTAAGATTAAATGGAGTCAAAATGATTAAATGTTAATCTTAGAAGATAGCCATGACAATTTAGAGTGTGTGGGCGAAAGAATCAACTAAAAAGGAGTTCATATGAAGAATTATGGTCAGACGAAGTTGGGATAAATTTATGTTACTGAGAAAGGAAAATGGAGAAATAGAACACATGGTGTAAAAGTGAAATTATCTGACGCCAAGTAGTAAGAACGCAACACGTTCTAGGGAAAACACAATGTTCTTTCGACATTTGTTAGCAAAGGACGAGTTTTAAGGGCTTAATTCAACTTTTTTACTTATTATTTTCAATTATATGACTTGGAGGAGCCGGGGGGGTTGATCTTGAAGGCTTGGAAGCTTGAATCAAAGCCAAATTCAAGGAGAACACTAAGAGATGAAGCTCTTAGCTCCATCAAGGGCAACTTTATATTCCTTATCAAGTTTGATTGGTGTTTATAAGAATGATAAAATCTTAACTTGTATGTAAAAAATGCTTGATTATATGTTGAAATAAGTGTAGTAATCATATTCTTTAAATGTGATATGATGGAATTCATGGTTCATTCTTTGAATTGGGGAAGATGATGATGAACCCTAATTTTGTGAATTTGGATATAAGTGAAATTTAGCTTATGTCTAGATAGATTAAGACATAAGTTGTATGTAGTGTATAACTAGTTTTGGCAAAGAAATTAAGTTAAAGGATTTAGTCATATACGCATATGTAAATAACTTATAATTTGAGCTATTATGCTCAAGTGGGTGAAATAAGTAATAAGGTGACATTAAGCTCACATCTTAATGAATTAAGACATGCAGGTAATTAAATTATGGAGTTTGTGTAGTTTCTATATGATTGTATGTATGAGCTTGATGAATGAATTAAGACATGTATGTAATTAATTTATGGAGTATGTGTAGTTTCTATATGATTGTATGTATGAGCTTGATGAAAGCATTGAATCAAGTTATTATATAAACATGTTACACTTTGAGTTGTAGTACTCAATATTGGTGTTTTATTTTGATATTATATGAAATGAGAGTCGTTATGAGGCTTTAAGAGCTGGAAATCTATACAATAGGAACATTCAATATGAGTAATCATAACCCCCACTCTAGAAAATTAATATCTAGATATGATGATGATGATTGTGTTATGTGAGAAGTATAATATATGAATTGTCGTTAATTGATATTGTATGAAATATTTTGATTTCATAGTTGAGATTTATAAGAAATTTTTATTATACGAGTTAATAAGGTGATTATACTTGAGAGTGAAGATTAAATAGAGTTGAACATTTATAAATGAATATAGCGATAAAACTATTTATAGTATAAATGCAATAAGTAAGCATAGTTGAGTAGTTATAGCTCATAACAAAAAAAAGGAAGTGATTAAACATAGCTCAACAATTTTAGTCGTATAACTGGTATGATTGAATAGTTGTGATGTAATGGTTGAGTATAGCTGAAAAGTTATAATATAATATAATTAAATTAGCTAATAATATCTAAAAAAAAACTTTGTAGTCGATACAGTTGAATATTGTTATTGAAATTAAGGGGTCGAATATAATATTGTTAGATTATTGTAAACTTTTGTGGTATGTTGTTATCGTTGTGTGGCGTAAAGAGCTAGTATGACTAATAAATTATAGAGAAAATTACAAATATAATCAAAACCGATAATTGCTTTGTAGAAAATAGCCAAAAAAAACCCAATTACAAAAATAGCCTGCAAAATCGCAGATGGACTAAGTCCATCTGCGATTTGACAAAGCCATCTGCGAACGTACAAGTCGCTAAAGCACATCCATGCTTTAGCGACTTGTACGTTCGCAGATGGACTAGTCTATCTGCTATTTCGCATTCCATCTGCGATATCACCTTTTTTCGCAGGTATAAAAACGTAAATTTTTTTGTTTGTTTCATTTTTCACACTTTTCGTTGAAGAACTCTCTCTGGAAGCATTATGGACGATTTGACAAAACAAATATTAATTCATTTTATTAAAAAGATTTTAAACACATTTTTCAAAGAAATTACAACAAAAGTGATAATTTTTTGCAAGAATTTATATATAATATGGTTGTTTCATAATCAAATCCTATCAATTTCGTAGTCAAAAATTAAAAAAAAAAAAAAAAACGAAATCGCAGATGAACTTAGTTCATCTGCGATTTTAGTCACTTGTACCCCCTATTTATACCATAAAAAAAATCATCTGCGAACGTACAAGTCGCTAAATCACGGATGTGCTTTAGTGACCTGTACGTTCGCAGATGGCTTGGTGAAATCGCAGATGGGCTTAATCCATCTGCGATTTTGATGGCTATTTTTGTAATTTGGATTTTTTTGGTTATTTTTACAAAGTAATTAACTATTTTTGTTATATTTGTAATTTTCTCTAAATTATAGTTGTTTACTGGTAATAAACAATTTTGTGGTGACATGTAACGAGTATGATAGACCATATAACGATAATTTATGGTGATATTTAACGAGTATGATATACCACATAACGAAAACCTTTGTGGTAATATTTAACGAGTTTGTTCAGGCACATAGCGAGTACTTTGTGACAATATATATCATTGTTAGTTGAAATGATGGTTTGAGTAGCCGTAAATCCATTGTCAAGTAAAATGGCAGCTTGAATAGCAGTAAATTCGTTGTTGAGTAAAATAGTGGCTTGGTAGCCGTAATACCATGTCTAATCATTGTGTAGTTATAACGCTATAATTAAGAAATAGAAAGTCCATATAACTATTGAGTAGGTACAAACTTATTATTTGGTGAACTATGTTGTTAACTTATTACAAGTTTATATGGAGTTATTTGAAAGAAGTTATGAAATCTAATTGTGTTTTAATAATATGATTAATTATAACTGATGTTATTTGTATATGTTGAGCATGTTACTCACCAAGCTCTTGTAGCTTACTTTTTGTTATTGTATATGTTGAGCATGTTACTCACCAAGCTCTTGTAGCTTATTTTTTGTTATTATCGTATGTGTTTCAGGTTCAAATAGACTTATTAAAGAAGTGAAGATTTATAGCTAAGAAAAGTAATGTACGAATTAGATCATTGTTTATTTCATCATTCGATCTTTTATGTTAACTTCTTGTATTCAAGTAGTTAACATAAATGTACACTGAGTTATTTTATAAATTAAAAAAGTAAAAATTATGGGGTATTTTGTGTTAAAAAGTCGGGTGTTTAAGATGGTATCAAAATCGTGGTTTAAATGAATTAGACTTTTTGTAGTAGATTCTTAAACTTAAATCGGAGAGTGGAGTAGAAATATTAGTTGACTAGACCTTACCGACATACCGACATAGGTTAGCCAACTATTAGACGTAATCGGTGAATGTTGTGATATTATAATTTGATTTCTCAAAAATTGAATTACGAAGAGCGGAAGTTAGCGGTTTGAGTTAATTTTATGGAAATAGTACCCTTGCCGGTAATTGCATAGTTGCTAAAAAACTTGAATTGGTAGTCGTTAAGAATTGTTATTTTAGCTAAACACTTCTTTCAAATAATTATTTTAGTCAATATCCTTATATAAACTGTGAAATTTAGCAAAAAAAGATGCATAATTTATCCATAAAAGAACATCAAGTCGTCTAAAAACCATAAAATAGCCGATTGAAACTTCCAAGCACACATCATTAAGCCTTAATATATTAAAAAAAAAATCAAAATTGTAGTGCTTTGAAGAGAAATGTTCTTGCCCACACTAATAATAAATTCCAATAAATTGAGCTGCCCTGTCTCACCTTCCTAGCACTTTCCCTAATCTCCACCCGCCAAAACACCCCTCATTTACTATTATGAATATCGAAGATGATTACGATGTCTACATTAAATCCAAAGTTTCATTTTCCATGACCCCATCAATGACTTCGTCGTTAACTTCTATTCTACTCTTGGTCAATCACCACACATCCAGATTGATTTTAAATCCAGGCTCTGTGTAAGTCTAGAGAGAGAAACAGCATATTCATCGAAGGATATTTCTGTAAATACATTAATCGAACCAGTAAGTATGTGTTTCAAGCTTTCTGGTTTCTAAATTAGCTTGTTTTTGAAGTCAAAAAAGTATTTCTGAAGTATATTAGGGGTAATTGTGTGCGCTTGCAGTTGTAGTTGTGGTACTAGAACGCGTTTTCAGACTTTTATTTATTTTTATGGGCTGATTCGGTCCATATTAGTTCACGAACAACTGTAATTTGATTTGATTTGATTTTTATAAGTTTATCTTCTACCTCCTCTGTATTTATTTCAAATCGATTGCACAATTCCGAGGTTTGGTTTTTTGAATTATTTGAGTGATTTTCCATTTGCTCCAGCAGCGCTGTATTATTCCGAGTCAACTCAGTTGGTGGATCGGAGGTTTCGTGAATCGCTTCTCGTCTATGGTTGTTGTATTGTTGTTGAGTTCTTGATTAATCCACGTTGATTTCGCGGCCGTGAAGAATCGAAGGGTTTCACCTTCGTGTTTGTAAATACATGATGGAGCATTTTAGATTAGAGAGGCATCAATTGCTGACTTTGACGTTAATCATCTGTTTACATTTTCAGAATTTGAATTCCTGCTTCTCTCTCAATGATGAAGGTATTACAATCTAGCTCCGATCATTGTGGTTCATAATTTGGCTTAAATTGAAACAATCTACTAACATTCCCACTTTTCTAGCCTCTTCAGAAGGATACTAGTTCGTCCAAATTATACTTTGATTTTCCTTTCCTGTTGATATTTTTAACACAAGCTGATCATATCTATGTATACTTTCTGATTGCAGGTTTTTCTTTACTTAGATTTAGAGATAGAGTGATAAATGATCCATCCGGGGCTTTGACAAATTGGAATGATGATCTTGGAGTGACGAATCCATGTTCCTGGTTTGGTGTAGGCTGCTCCAAGGGACATGTTATCTCTTTGTAAGTCCGTCTATATTTTAACTTGTTCCAAATTTCCAATAGCTGCATCGTTGCAGAAATCTCTTTATGGTTATGATATAGCCTCTGAAGGATTCAGATTATTTTTTGAACTTTATATTATATTAACAGGAACCTCATAAATCTTCGTCTTCGAGGAACACTTGCTCCTGATCTTGGAAATCTATCTCGCCTAAAGTCCATGTATGAACAAAATTAATCATCCCTTCCACTTAACTAATGTTTTCATGAATCAAGTTTCTGAAATCTTCATTTATGCAGAATTCTCCGGAATAACTCGTTCTATGGTACCATTCCTGAAAAGATAAAAAAAATGAAAGAATTATTGGTGATGGATCTTCGGTACAATAATTTTTCTGTAACACTTCCATCTGATCTTGGGAATAGTAAATCACCAACGATTATGTAAGTCGAATCAACGTTTACCTTATTATTCATGATTCCAACTCATTTCCATCATCCACAATCAACTCTTTTCTCAAACAACTGTAGATTACTAGACAACAACAAGCTTCTCGATGACAATTTTCCTGATCTTCAACAAGAAGTTAAATCCCACCGGAAACTGCTACAAGACGAAAATATACCTGTTCCGGCACAGCCACTTCCACCTTTTCGATTTCCATTTCTGCCATCGCCACCACCATCACCATCACCATCACCATCACCATCACCATCACCATCACCATC